TATATGTGTGTATATATATCTATATATGTGCATATGTTTTTATGTGTGTACATATGTATCTATGTGGTCTGTGTGCCTATGTGTATGTGTGTCTAGGACTGTGTGTATATTTACATATATGTGTGTTATGTATATGTAACATATATCTCCTTTGTTGTGTATTTGTGTGGCTATATCTCTATGTGACTGTATTTGTGTCTGTGTCTATATCTCCATGTGCTATATTGTGGCTTAATTTGCATTTGTGTCGGTGTGTGTTTATGTGTGTGTAGTAAACTTATGGGTTCGTGCCTGTGTCTGTGTGCTGTGTTTGTGTCTACATGTGTGTTTGTGCAAACATATATGCGCCTGTGTTGTATGTGTGTATGCCTGTAGGTATATCCGTGTGGCTGTCTGTGTGCATGTGTCGATGTGTCTGTGGCTGATGGCAGGAAGAAGGATAAAGCTATACTATCCTATTCTGTACTTGGTGCAAATTAGGAAAAGCTGTCCTCTCTGGTGTGACAGTCTCACAGGCACAGGGATTGGCCAGCAGAGTAGGGAATGGATTTCGCTCTCCATTGGCCCCCTCATCTGGTGTCTTAGAGCAGAGAGCAAGTTGGTGAGTGTGAAGGGTATTTTGGAAGACCCAAAGTCCATTCAGCCTCTCCTTTGTTGTGTTGTGCAGGTACTTTCCCACAGAACTTAGTTTGAAAACTGATGTCCTATAAATGTTCCAAAATGACATGATTCCAGAGGCGTTCATGGCATAGTTCCTCTACCTGAAGTCCAGGCACTGCAGAGCCTTCAGTGGGCTCCTTCTTCAACTCATCTTGAGGCCTTGAGCATGCCTTCCCTCAGGCAGACCTCTCACCTCTCTTTTTGGAAAGCTCAAGCCAGAGTCCTGCCTTAGCATCCTACGGCCTCAGACTCACTTCTGCCACCTGTTGCCTTGTTGTGGAAAACACGTGTTGAGGTTTACGGTTGCATATAGCCATGGCTCATTACATACTTTGCAGTTTTTAAAAAATGACTCATGACTAAGAGATTGTGGGGTGGTGATCGGGTGGTGTTAGTGGAGAAACATATGGATGGTGTGGGACTAGTTTAGATGGAGAGTGAGATCTTGGAACCGGGAGTGGATGAGTGGTTCAAATGTGAAGAGAAAACTGGTGCTGCAGGTTGGATCTAGAGGGATCGTTAGCACTTAACATCCCTTCGCAATCTTCATATCCAATATGTGCTGCCTACCTCAACTTCTCAGCAGAAACTCCCTCTTCAGCATTCTGACTTGTAGCGTCTTGTGATAGATGACCCTGGGCAAGTTGCTCAACCTTTATGAGCCTCTGTTTCTTCAGCAATAGCCCCTATTCACTCATGTGGGTGGTTGGAAAGAATAATGACATAGTCTATGTGAAGACCTGGGCGCACAGTGCTCAGTGAATGTTGTTGCAGCCTTTTCTCCCCTTTTGTTCACCCTCTTCTTCCTCCTCGAGGTGCCCATAGCACTTCATCTGTCCGTAGTACAGCATCTAGCTCTGGCTTAGCACTATGGCAAGTGGTCAGTAGTCAGTAGATATTTGTTGAGTGAAGAGTTAAAAGAAGTCAGGCAGGAAAATGGAGGGAAAATAGTAAGTATCAGGCACGTAATGAAGTAAGTTGAAGTTGAAACACTTTCCCATCTTTGGACATGATCTAATAGTATCCTTTGATAGAAAAGTGGAACAAACAAGGATTTTGTATATGTAAAATGTAGCTTTAGGTGACAGTCCGGGTGCGGAGCTCAGTAGGCCCTCTGATCACTGATTTCCTGTTTGTGATCATCAGCCAGGTCTTACAGTGGACCATTTCAGTTTTCCCTTTGATATGACAGCGTGAATTTGGAAGAGAGAGAGAGTGTATATGCAACAGCACCTGTTTCTAACAGAGGGTCAAGTTTCAAAGAGGCTTAAAGGAATCTAAATTGTGAAAAAAAGAAAGGAAGAAATAGAGGATAAAACAAACCTTGTTAGTAATGAGATCCAGTAGGCAGGTAAGGGCTGTCATTACTATAATTATATACCAGGTATTAATCACCTGCTATTTACAGGGCACTGTGCCAGTTGCTGAGATTGCGAAGTAGAATTCCAGGTTGTTGCCCTCCAGAGGCTTCCAATCTAGGACATGGAATTGGTTAGAAGAAGAAGAAGTATCAAACGCTATCTATCTGTTCAGTACTGTGACAAATACTTAAAGGTATTTTGTCAGATATTATCATTCTCCAAGAAGAATCTAAGGTTCAGAGAGATTAAGAAACTTTCTCCAGCTCATCCATCAAACGAGCAGTAGAACTGGGAGAAGGCCCAAGTCTGTCTGGCTCTAATGGCACTGTACTGCCTGCAGGCCTCTGAGTAAGAGCATCAGGGCAAGCATGTGAAAAAGACAATTAACTTGACAAGCTATGCTAGGTTCAATGCCATGTGAGTAATATTTGGCAATTGTTGCAGGAATCCAACAAGAAAAGAGATTTATTAAGATTGAAAGAGGAACTTTGCAGAGGAAGTAGTTCCTCAACTAGATGCTGAAGGCAGAATATGAATCCAATAAGAATGAAGGTCGAGGCGTTTTAGGTGGAAGTAAGCATGGTATGTGCGAAGCTGGGAAGTGGGAAAATTCTCACCTTCTGGGTTTGTGTTACGCAGCATGGAATGCCAGAGAGAGCAAAGCCTGCTCCAAACTCACTAGCAGTGCTTCCCTAGCCCAGTCACCCAATTTCCATAAGCCTCAGTGTCCCTTTTTGTACAACGGTTGTGGTAATAGGCACTTCAAAGAGTTGTTGAGACCAGAGACAATGTGTATAATGCTGTCCGCCTCCTCAAAATCACCACTCAAAATTAAAACTCAATCAAAGTCAGGTTTCCTCTCTTACAGTTTTCTATTTTCCTTTCTACTTGCACTTGAATCAACTATATATTTGTATGTTTATTTCTTTAATGTCTTTTCTTGACTGTAAGTTCCACGAGGACAAGGAAAACATCGATTCATCTCAACACTATCTCTTTAATGCCTAGAACAGTACTCCAGAAATCTTTGTTAGATGAATACATAAATGTAGGAATAAATAAATGAATAATAAGATCTATTTCTGTGCTACGATTCTAAGAATCTCAGGGAAAATATCTCTTCTCTCTGGCAATGGGCAGGTCACAAATACAGGAAAAGCTTTCACAGAATGCAGTTAGAGCATTACAGGGCCTCAACAGGTTACTAGAGAAGCACCAGGTCTCCTCTCCATCTACTATATGGAACCATGTCTGAGCAGGAAGGAAATTACACAAACTTCCAGCTCAGCTGGTTCCAGAGTTTCACAACCCAGCTCTGTCTTGCTTACATCTGACATGCTACTTCATTGGTGTGACCTCCAGTGTGCTGAGTGGATAAATGACACTGCATAATCACCGTGCTGCCCCACAATGACCCTGAGTGGATGTCTAGACTTTCCAGTAATCAAGTCTTATAATTCAATGCAATGCAATAACCTTTTATGTATCGTTGGGGAGGAGAATAGGGGACATAGAGATGCACTAATAATTACTAGGCATTTGATATATGGTCTGTGATTGAGATAAGGGCTGGAAACTAAAGGGTACAGAGGAAGCTACATAGCCCAGCCTGATGTGAAACAATGGATGTATGGTTGGATAACATTTATATCTTTTCAAAGTGTGATTATATGTATCTTCCCTTCTTAGTCTCCCTGTAGTCATGGGGAAGTATAGATAACATTCAGATTATTTGCTCCTATTATAGAGAGAAACTGAGGCAAATGGGGGTGGTTCCGGACATAGAACTGGTTTCAGTGGCTGCCTTAGTCTGTTTTGTGCTGCTATAACAGAATGCCAGAGGCTGGGTAACTTATAAAGAAAATAAATAAATTTATTTCTCACAGTTCTGAAGGCTGGGAAGTCCAATATCAAGTTGCTGGCATCTGCAGAGTGTTTTCTTCCTGTGTCATCCCATGGCAGAAGATGAGAGGGTGAGAAAGAGGGGTTGGGATATCAAATTTGCCCTTTAATAATGAACTCATTCTTGAGATAACACCATTAATCTATTCATGAGGGTGAAGCCCACAAGGCTGAATCATCTCTCATTAGGCCTCACCTCCCAACACTGTTGCATTGGGGATTAAGTTTCCAACACATGCTATTTGGGGGACACACTCAAATCATAGCAATGGTAGATATGAACTAATGGCCCAGAGCTCATGACCATCAGCTTAGGGATCTTCTGAACCACACTGTCATTTGCCCTTATGTTGGACAGCAGTATGAGCATGCTTGCAATTTCATAATGTCACAGAAGATGGGGGGCCTTCCATAATATGTCCCCTATGCACTTTTGTGATAGAACATCAGAATAGAATACATTAGTGAAATGAAAGTGCTGGGAAAGGGAGGGCACTGTCCCTCTAAATAATACAGAAGGCAGCAGGACGTGCTGAGTAGAGGAGGGTGTGGTCCCCTGCTAGGGCTCCACTCCGAGGCCTGTGTCAGGGACCTAGGTGAGGACAGGCATTTTTGTTTTCCTGTGCAAATGTTGCATTTTCCAAGACCACCCTGGCCTGCCACGCCCCTATCCAGGCCACCAACTGGCAGAACGACATGGAGCTTGGCTGTGGCAGTGAGAGGAGAGCTGGGGCCGCTGAGCCCCCGATTCCAGGGGGAAAACCATCTCCCTTTTGTCTCCCCCATTCTGCTGAGAGCTACTTCCACTCAATAAAACCTTACACTCATTCTCCAAGTCCATGTGTGATCGGATTCTTCTGGTACACCAAGGCAAGAACCCCAGGACACAGAAACCCCTCTGTCCTTGTGATAAGGCAGGGGTTTGAGGTGACTAACACAAGCCACCTACAGACAGCTAAACTAAAAGAGCACCCTATAACACATACCCACAGGGGCTTCAGCTGTAAACATTCACCCCTAGATGGAGTGAATGCGGGATTGGAACTCCACAGCCTACCTGGCTGTATGCTCTCCTAGAGGTTTGTGCAGCCAGCCGGGCCCTGAATAAGTGCGTCACACCCCCATTGCGCACGCCAAGTGAGGGAGATAAGGGAACTTTTCCAGTTTCATTAGGAGTTGACAGACTAAGGTTCACGGGCTACACTGTTCATTGCTTGCTTTTATAAGTAAAGTTTTATTGAAACATAGTCATACCTACTCATTTACTATTGTCTGTGGCTGCTTTTACATTACAAAGTTGAGTAGTTGCAACAGATACTGTATTGCTCACAAGTCTAAAAATATTTAATATTTGTCCTTTACAGAAAAAATGTGTCACTCCCTGGAATGAATCAAATGGAAGTAAAAGGAAAAAAAAGAATTCAATCGTTCATAACAGGCAGTGTATCATAACTGAAAAAGATAATGAAAATTGGTTTCAGACAAACTCAGGTCAGAATCTCACCCTGGCTACTTGGCTGGATAACTTTGAACTAATTTTTACTCTTTGGGCCTGTTTTTGCATCACTGTAGAAGGTTGCTGTTTAAGAATTCTATAAGGTAAAGTGTAATATATCTGTTATGATTAGGTTTGACCCCATACAATAGAAAACACAAAAGTGTCTTACACAGGACAGCAGTTTTTTTTCTTTCATGCAGAGGTCTGGAAGGCAGTGTGTATTGATTTGTTCAGTGCCTCTTGCATTAGGAACTCATGCCTCTTTTATCTTGTTGCTTTGCTGTGTGTGGCTTTCATTCCTGAGGTCCTTTCATGGTTCAACACGGATGCTGGAGCAAATAAACAATCAAATACACAAAAGCTTAGAGAAAGAGCCATCCGTAGAGGCCAGGCAGCAAATCTATTTATTCAAGGCTAGCCAAGATGAGATCCCCTGGCCATAGTGCATGAAACCAGAATATTTCACTTATTCCATTCTTGGGATACATTGAAGCAGACCCGGAAGCAATGTCTTCTGTGTATTAAGCATCTAACACTTTACAAAGCATTTTCATACGTCTTACCACATTTGTTTTCCACAATGCTCTGAAAAGGTAAGATGCCTAGATTTTAACATTATTCCTATTGAATACTTGATTCACACAGTTGCTAAGTAACAGATCTTAACGAGTCTACAGCTAGGTCTTCCAATATGTTGCTGGAAATGAAAGGTGAACAATCATGGTGCAGAATAAAGAAAATAAGCCAAATCAGGACCCCTGGTAGAGAGGCAGTGCAAAGACTGGGGCTAATTATGTGGTCTCAGCCTCACCGGGCTGTTCTCCTAACCTGTAAGACCAAGATAAGAGCACTTATTTACTTTTGGGGTTATTGTGAAAATAGCAGACAATCTTAGTGCACCTGGCACTTAGGACCAGTTGAATGAAATCATTACCTTTCACAGGTGTGTCTTTGGAAAATCACATCCCTTTCCTGGACCTCCGTTTCCTTTTCTAGGAAAACAAAATGTTTGGTCTCAGTGACTGCTAAACTGTCTCCCAAATCTCAAGCTCCCTCAGTCTGGGATCCTGCCTTTTATGAAAATAGCTCAGATTGGAATTCTCCCTTTGGTTGCTTCCTAGCTGTGTGTCCCAGTAAAAGTTAAAAATTTTGGATTCCCCGCCCTCTGTAAAATAGGGATTCATAACATGCAGCTTATTAGAAAGGGAAGGCATGAGAGGATTAAATGAGGTCGATGTCCAGTACCCACTAGATTGTAACATTTCTCAAAGGCAAGGACCCATCTGTTTTGTAGATTACAGAATGTCATACGTTGAAGTACGGGGTGTGGCCACGGGATTAGAAAATTTCTGTAAAGATTAAGGAACGAGGCACAAGGTAAGCGTTCAAGAATTTTAACTATGCAATATTCTTATAATTTCTTACACCCGCCTACAACAGTCCTGAGGTTCAGCAAACGGTCTGACACACACACCCAACCGGGGCTGTGGAGAGTCCTCCTGGGTGAGCTCTGCGAGGCCAGTCCTCAGAGCCGGGAACTCGCAGCCTGAGCAGACGTAGCAGAGCCAGTCTTGGGTCCGCGCTCCTCCCGCCCAGCCCTGCCCAGCCCTGCCCAGCGCCGCCCGCGGGTGGCCAGGAGCCAGCGAACGCACCAGCCTCGGGGCGGGCAGCCGCCGGCCAATCCTGGGCCGGGTTCAATGGGCCAATCAGGCCGAGCTTTACAGAGGAGGCGGCGGGGGCGGGGCCGCGCTCGAGGCGGGGCTGCAGCCGCTCCCGGGACCGCCCTGCCCAGACGCCGCGGGGCTCGGCGCGGCTACGTGCAGAAGCCCTCTAGCTAAAACGTAGTGTCAGATTGGACAAGTACTGTAAGTGACCCTCCTCTCAGTCCCACGTGGGCGCCGGGGGCTTTTGCTGGCGCGCAGGCTCTTCGCGCGCAAGTCCAGGAAGAGGCTTCTCCAACCCGGGAGCGCACTGGCCTGGCCCTCTCCTCCCCTTTCCCACCGTCGTTGCCTCCTCCTCCCCTTCCTTCTCCTCCGGCCGCTAGGTCTCTCACCCGCCGGGCCGTTGCTCCCGAGACGTTGTTGAGTTCCCTGAGTCGTCTCCTGGGTGAGGCGTCCGGCCACTCAAGGGAAGGGAAGGAAAGGGTCGGCCTTTACTGCATCCCCAAGGCTGCCCGTTAGGTGTCTGGAACCCGTGCTGCTTCCTCTCCGATCAGTGTCCACTTAACTATATTCAGTTCTCTTTCCTTTCCTTACTCGTGTAGGACATTTCGCCGGCATCTGAGGAGCCTTTTAATTCACGTCTGGCTACCGAAGGCATTTCTAGGCTAATGTTGCTTGTACCTTTAACGCTTCCAGCACTTATGATAGTGTTTGAGGCACAGCTGAGTTTAGATCGGATAATGCTGTTTTGTTACCGTTATCCGCAGTAGGAAAGGCCTAGGGGTATCTTTCCATTTTTATCAGTTTCCTTTTTATTTAAAGATTGAAAAAGTGCAAAATGGTGAATTTCCCTCATCATGGGCTGTTTTCCACTAAAGCACTTCTGTGTCTTAACACAACTTTCTTTCCTGAAGGGTCAGGCATGACATGATCAAAGTCTGAAAAGCAGTTATCCTTAGGTTACATTTAAAAGTATGAGACCAGGAGGGGTGAAGTTCTTATGCCTTTGAATTGTAAATCAGAATGAAAGAAGGGAAAGTCTCTTATTCTGTGGCTGTTATTTAAATAGTGGAGTTTTGCTTTGTATAGTTTTTGCTTGCTTTTCTTCTTTTTTTCTATGATCCACCACGTGTATATCCTGATTTTTTTTTCTTTTTAACTTGCTTGCTGGGTTTTCCAGCCAGATGACTGCTGCTTGGTCTTCTGGGAGTCTCCTGTTAATGGGGCCCTCACGCTTGGCTCTTGACCTGACAGCCACTGGCCTGGCTCTTGGAGGACCTCCTAGTAGGAGGCCCAGAGCACTGTTATTAAGGATGATTGGGGGAACAGATCAGAGGGGGTGAGCCGGGGCCTGGAGATCAATTTTGAGGGGGAGGGAGGTTGGGAGCCTGCCTGGCTGGATTTGGAAGTCAAAACATGTGTGCTGGAAGAAGGGCATAACCCCGGAGGGTGGAGAGCTTGTCTTTCTGGATGAAATTAAGTTTACTGGGAGGGGACTGTGCCTTCCAGTCTGTGTTAGTTTTTGCTGTGGGCCTTGTCTTTTCCTGGAATTTAGTTCTCTTTCCCTAACCTTTCACTTTTTAACTAGTTTCCTTTACCTAACCTTTCATTTATTGATTTAAATATTTTAAATCACAGTCAATTACCAGCTGGTTTTTAAAACAATTTGAGGTAATGAATCTTGCCCTTAATCTCCCAGCCAGAGTGGAAGCCTCTACCCCCACCCCCAAGGGGATTTGAAATGATTATTTTACCGGAATGTGCTACAGAGATCACTTACCCTCTCACCTGCCCACCTTTTTATAATGGAGGGACATGGAGTCAACCCAGGTGGTGTAAGAGATCATCCAAATCAGTTCATGTATTCCCTCATCTTGTCCACATACTTTGGGCCTGGAACTGTGGTAGTCTCTGGGAAAGTGCAGACCAGTAAGACTTGGTCTCTGCTTTTAAGCCTTCATCTAGTTTGCTTCAGTCCACTTTGATGAGGGAGATTACATGATAGTGAGATGATTGCAGTGAAAAGGTATGCAGAAGACTCCCAGGAGTTGAGAGAAGGATAAAAGGCTCAATATGGGGTTTGGGGAAGACTTCCCAGAAGGGAATACTGGAATTGAGTCCCAAAGCCTGAATGGGCTGGAGAAAGGGGAGGAATTATATGAACTGGGAACAGCATGCACAGCACTACAGAAGCATGGCACATGGTTGATTAGTATGGCTGTGCAAGAAAGGCTGAAGTGGAAAATCACCTGACAGGAGGCTGGGGAGGGTGAAGGCTGGATCAGGAAGGGTCTGGTGAATCATCTTAGGGAAGGAAGTTTGGAATATATCTCCAGGGCAAAATCTTATATCATTTTGCAGGAATCTTACGTCATTTTCTTTGTACATTATCGAAAATTCTGGCTGCAATTTGAAGAATGGATTGGATTGGTAAAGCCTGGAGAGAGATAATTGCAGTAATACAGATTAGGGACATATTAGGGTAATAGTTATGGCAATGGAGAGAGATTAGGAAAATAGAATGGTTAGAAATTAATTACTGATTGAATGTAGGGGTAAGAAGAAATGTAGCCAATAGTAGGCATTCTTGAGTGGGCTATTTTGTAGCAGCTTTATTGAGGAATAATTGACATCTAGTAACTGTTCATATTGAGTGTCCAGTTGGAGAAGTTTTGTTAATATGCATATATATGAAAACCATCATCACCATCAAGATAAAGAACTTACCTAATACCCCAAAGATTGCTTGTGCCCTTTTTAATTCCTCTTTGTATACACCCTGGGATAAAGTATATATTAAATCTTTTGTCCACTTTAAAAAATGAGCCATTTATTTTCATTTTGTTTAGCTTTGAGAATTCTTTATTCTTAAAAGTTCTTTATCACATGTAATTTGCAAATATTTCTCTCATTTTGAGGCTTGTGTTTTAACAGTGCCTTTTGAAAGCAGAGTTCTTAATTTTGATGAAGTCTAATTTATAATTTTGGTTAAATAAATGTTACCAATCTGATTTTTTATAGATCATGCTTTTTGTGTTTTATGTAAGATATCTTTGCTTAACCTAAGGTCTCAAATATTCCTCCTATTTTTAAAAAGAAGTTTTGTCATTTTTTGTTTTATGTTAAACCTGTGATCATTATAAGGTAATTTTTGTATAGGACATGAAATATGGAATGAAGTTTATTTTTTTGCATATGGCCATCCAGTTGTTCCAGCACCGTTTGCTGGAAAGCTTATCTTCGTAGAATTGCCTTTGCACCTTTGTTCAAAAATCAATTTACCATGTATACACTGGCCCAGTTTTGTGTTTTATTTTGTTCATTTGATCTCTTGTCTATTTTAATGGCAATACCACATATTCTTGATAAATACAGCTTTGTAATAAGTACTGAAATCAGCTAGTGTAAGTCCTTTAATTTTGTTCTTTTTAAAATTTGTTTTGATTATTCTAGGTTCTTTCTATTTCCATATGAATTTTATAACCACTTTGTCCATTTCAAAATAAAGGCCTATTTAGATTTTAATTGGAATTGTATTTAATGTATACATTAATTTGGGTGAGAATTGACATTTGAAATACCAAGTCTTCTGACCCATGGACACAGTGTATCTGTTCATTTATTTAAGTCTTCTTTATTTCTCTAGGCAATGTTTTATAGCTCTCAATCCGAGCTCTTATACATAAGTGTACAGCTCTTATGCATATTTGTTGGATTACCTGTAGGTATTTCCTATTTTTTGATGATATTGTAAATGATATTAATATTTTATGTATTTTAAAAATTTAATTTCCAGTTGTTTTCTTGTTACTGGTATATTGATCATGTATCCTGAAATCTTGCTAAAGTGCTTATTAGTTCTAAGAGCTTCTTGGTAGATGCCTTCAGATTTTCTATTTAGGTGATCCTGTCATCTGTAAATAAAGATAGTTTTACTTCCCTTCCCAATGAGGTTGCCTTTTATTTTTCTTACTGTATTCCACTAGCCAGAATCATTGCTTTGCATAGAACTGATGAGAGCTGACATCTTGCCTTCTTCCTGATCTGCAGGAGAGGCATTCATTTTATCATTAAGTATGATGCATGATTCGAATTACATATATTTGGAGATAAGCTTTATCAGGTTTAGGAAGTTTCATTGTATTCCTGCTTTACTGAGAATTTTTTTTAAAGGAATAGTAGATGTTGTAATTTTGTTGCTTTTCCTATAACTGTTGTGATCATTCATATTTTTAAAAAAGATTCTTAATGTGGTAAATTACATTTAATGATTTTTTTTCCCCTGTGTTAAACTTTGTGTTCCTGAGATACACCCTATTGGTCAAGGCATATTATCCTTTTTTTATGTTACTGAATTTTATTAGCTAAAGTTTGAAGAATTTTTGTGTCCATCCTCATAATACCTGACGTCTGGGTAAATCTGGCCTCATAGAATGAATTAGGAAGTATTTCTTCCATTTTGATTTTTCCAGAAGAGTTTATGAAGAATTGGTATTATTTTTTTCTTAAATGTTATTGTAGCACTATTCACAATAGCAAAGACATGGAATCAATGTAAATGTCCGCCAATGGTAGATTGGATAAAGAAAATGTGGTACCTATACACCATGGAATACTGTGCAGCCATGAAAAAGAATAAGATCATGTCCTTTATAGTAGCATGGATGGAGAAAGCTGGAGAACATTATCCTAAACCAACTAAAGCAGAAACAGAAAACCAAAAATACTGCCTGTTCAAAAGTGCACAAAAGGGGGAATGACACTGAGACCTACTTGAGGGTTGGGGATAGGAGGAAGGAGGATTAGAAAAAAAAATTAATATAAAAAAATGCAAACCTAAAGTATTTAAATAAAATTCAATTTTATTCAATTTGTTAAAAGTTTAATGGAATCTTATTAAATAAGTTTTAAAAAATAAAGCCATTCATTATTCCATAAAAAAACAAGCTGTTTAGTAGGATTCACAAGTGAAGCCATCAGGGCCTGGAGTTGTTTTGGGGGCAGGAGGTTAAATACAATGTTGTTTGATTATATAGACATAGAGCTCTTCAGGTTATCAATTTTCTTTTTCCCGAGCTTTATTGAGGTATGACTGATGAATAAAAATTGTACATACTCAAGTTGTGCAACATGATTTGATATACACTGTGAAATGATTACTACAATGAAGGTAATTATCATATCACCTCATGTAGTTACTCCTTTTTTGTGGTGAGAATACTTAAGATTTACTCTCTTAGCACATTTTAAGTATATAGTAAATTTTCAACTGTAATCATATTGAACATTATATATCCAGAAATTTTTCTAATAACTGAAAGTTTGTATTCTTTGACCAATATCTCTCCATTTCCTCAATACCTGGTACTGCCATTCTCCTCTCTGTTTTTGTGAGTTGGACTTTTTTAGATTCTATGTATAAGAGATATCATGCAGTATTTGCCTTTCTGTGCTTGGCTTGTTTCATTTAGCATATTGTACTCCAAGTTCATCCATGCTGTGGCAAACGGCAGGAATCTTTTTTAAGGCTGAATGATATTCCATTGCAGATATGTGTATAACATTTTCATTATTCATTCACCCATCTATGGACATTAAAGTTGTTTTCATATCTTAGTTATTATGAGTAATGCTGCAGTGTACTCCCATGTACAGTTTATCATACCAAGTAGTGATTTCATTTCTTTTGGAGGTATATACAGAAATAATATTGCTTTATCATATAGTAGTTTTATTTTTAGTATTTTGAGAAACTTCTGTACTATTTGCCGTAATTGGTGTACCAATTTACATTCCCACCAACAGTGTACAACAGTTCCCTTTTCTCCATATTCTCTTCAGTACTTATACGTTGACTTTTGATAATAGCTATCCTAATAGGTGTGAAGTGCTTTCTCACTGTGGTTTTGATTTACACTTTGTTGATGATTGGTCATGGTTGAACATGTTTTCATATACTGATTGGGCATTTGTATGTAATCTTTGGGAAAATATTCAAGTTCTTTGCCTATTAAAAAAATTGTGTTGTGTTAAATAAGTATTTTTAACATATATTTTGGGTTTTACGCCCTTATTGGGATATATGCTTTATAAATATTGTCTACCATTTTAGAGGTTGCTTTTTTATTTTCTTGATTGTTTCCTTTGCGGTGCAGAAGCTTTAATCTGATGTAGCCTCACTTGCTTAGTTTTGCTTTTATTGCCTATGCTTTTGATGCCCTATGCAAAAAATCATTGCTAAGACCAATGTCAAGGAGGTTTTTGCCTGTCTTCTTCTAGGAGGTTTAAGGTTTCAGGTCTTATGTTTACATCTATAATCCATTTTGAGTTGATTTTTGTGTATAGTATAAGGGTTCAATTTCATTATTTTGCATGTGAATATCCAGTTTTTCTAACACCATTTATTGAAGAGACTACCCTTTCCCCATTGTGTATTTTTGGTGCTTTTGTCAAAGAGTAGTTGATTGCATATGAGTAGTTTATTTCTGGGTTTTATATTGGTATCATTAGTGTATATGTCTCTTTTTATGCCAGCACCATCTTGTTATGATTATTATGGCTTTGTAATATAATTTGAAATTCAGAAATGTGATGTCTCCAGCTTTGTTCTTTCCCAAGATTGCTTTAGCTATTTGGAGTTTTTTACAGTTTATATAAATTTTATGATTGTGTTTTTCTTTTTTCTTTTTTTTTGTTTGATAAATG